AGCCTTCGTCCCCACTAATTCTTTGCCGTGTGCTTGGTGGGTCAGGTCCTCTACATTGTCCCGATTAATATTCTGTAATTCTTTTTCAGATTTTGTTCCTGGGAGCCTGTGAATGCAGATTTATGAGAATCATTGTAAACATTATTTTTGGATACTTTTCTCACTCTTAAAATCAGATTCTGGTCTAATGGGTCATTAAATCGTATGTCTTTGTAATGCGCTAAATTATCAATTAGGGTTTGACTTAGTTTGGTAAACCTGGCTGCTTCTTTTGATTATTTGATGAAAATTATGTTTTAATCAGATCGTTTTCAGTTTTTGCTTACTGCTTGTGCTCATCCAATTTATGTTGAAATCTCCTTGAAGGATGGTTTCACATTGACTATTTATGAGTCATTCATCCACTTCTTGGTAAAATGAGACACCACATGACGGGGGATTATATAGTGTCACTATATTAAACTTATAGTGACAACACAATAGTAATGGCTATACATTCATCACTCCCCCCCTCAATGTCAGTCTGTCTCTTCTAAAACAAACACAACCAGCCACATCAATCATGTGTGTTGTGATATTACTGTTTAGCCAGGATTCACTGAGACAAAAAAAATCCAGATTCAATAAATGTTTAACCTGATCTAGTTTTCATAAAATGCTCAAGTGTCCTCCTACAATTCCTCTTGGTTTGGTCTTTGAGTCCCAGATAACTTTAGCATGATTTACACTCTGGAAAAACCTGAATTGGATTTGTTTCCGTACCACATAACCAGAAGTGCCTCTGTCGTTAAAATGTGGAGCCTGGACCTGGTGGTTACACTTTCCAAGTCACAACTCTGGCAAAGTCTTATCGGCGTCACGGCTTCTATGGGCAGTTTTTTTCTGGGGCTGAGATTTGTACCGTGCTTTTGAGAGTGACAGCTTTCATGACATTTAAACCGGGTTCAGTGATACCAAACAGACGGCGTTTCAGCGAGCTGGATATCAGAAGACAGAGACGAGCTGTGTGAAGCAGAGCGAGCGGGGATGACGATTCCTGAACGTCATGCAGACTTTATATTGGCGATCACAGAGGAATGATGAAAGGAGAAAAATGTTTTCATGATTAATATTTTAAAACATTTCTCTCCTATCTGCTCCTACACACAGAGCTCAGAGTTTCTTCGCCTCCTCTTAAACATGACGAGGCTTTGATTTGTGCCTCTAGAGATAATTCAGTATTTAGTTTTAAGTGTAAAAAGGATTTTTTTTTTTTTAAGTCCTTGAAGTGGGATGTACAGAAGAGATCTGATTTCTGTGCCAGTCATAACACAAATTTAAATTTCTCCTCCAAAATAACCGCCAAAGTTAGACCCCGCCCTGAGCGTGGTCGCGTTGTAAAGACTTCACCGCACGATCATTGTGGTCATTGTGGGCGCTGAGAGCTAGAATTGAGGGGAGTGGCCCTGGGACGCCAGAGTTAACTATCCAGCCTTCCCGAGGTGTCATGAGACTTAATTGGTGAAGGGAGGTTCTCACATGACAGCCCGGGTGATGTCCTGGCTCCTGCTGCCCACCGCTCTAAAAGGTTGAGTTATGGGGGGGGGCCAAGAGGGGCCATGTGGGCGGGTCTGTAGCATCAGCGGTGTCACTACATGGAGCTTGTATGTACAGAGCCTGAGTCTGTTAATCGACCTGCTTGTTCAGTCGAGTTGACATTTTTCAACTTGAGCAAATCGTTTGCATAGTGTGGGTCAAACTGATGCAATTGATGTCATTTTCTCGTTTGGTGTGAATGCAGCATAAAGTCCTTTACACACTCGAGCGGTTTATTTGCTTGTCAATTATATTTTTTGTGCAGCAGCACGTTATGTGCATCAAAGAAGGGCCAGCCCTGATGCTTGGGGAACGCAGACCTTAAGGAACATTTGAACCTAATTTAGGTAAAAACCCCCTTGAGGGAAAATCGGGATTGACCCCGGAGTCTGCATGTTCTCCCCGTGCATGTGTGGATTCTCTCCGGGTACTCCGGTGTCCTCCCACAATCCAAAGACATGTTCGTTCTGTTCTGTGATTGGCTGGCGATCAGTCCAGGGTGTAACTCCGCCTCTCAACCTATGACAGGTGGGATCGGCTCCAGCCCTCCATGACCCCTCACAGGAAGAGCGCTAGGTATAGATGACGGAGTCGAATCAGAACTATTTGTTCTTTTTTTCTAATTGTCAGAGACTCTAAACGTAGCTCATGAATCGAGATTCAAAGGAGACCGTCTTTTAACGGAGACACTCTCACCTCCTATTAAATCCCCCCCCCCCCCCCTTACGTTATCCAGAGACAGTGTGAGGATCTGCTGGAGGGGGAGAGGGGGGGGGATAGAAGGGACACACCATCTGTTGTTCCTCCTCCACGTGTCAGGATCGTTTCTCCTCTTTGAGCAGACTCCAGATCAGATCAGAGCGGTGTGATAGTGTGACAGAGAGGCGAGCGCACAGACAATATGTCTGCTCGTATTGATGTGTTAACTTTCCCTCCCTGCGTTTATCCATCAGTAAAAAAAAAAGTGACATGTGTTATAACTTTCTGTCCAGCTCAAAGATGCAGACGGACTTCTCCTCCCGTTCTCTGGTTTGTTTTGTGTTCTCTGTTCTCGGATCAGTTGAGATCAGATCAGCTGATCATCGTTCCATTTTGTGCAGAAGGAGCATCATGTGACGTTAACGAAGAGTTTATAGCGAGCTTCCTGGTACCTGAAAGCTCTTCAATCTTTGTTGAACTAACTTCCTTAAAGACAGCCTGTATGTTGAACTCGCTTCATGGTTTACCCCTCTGGACTTCTATTTTAGTGTGGATAACATTTGATTTTTACTAGAATCAAATCTGCTGCTCAGTTTATGAGTCTGTCGGGTTGCAAAAATTTCCGGAAACTTTCCATGGGAAATTAAGATGGAGAATTTTGGAAATATTCCAAATCTGAAATTATGGGAATTATTTGGAAATTGAGGGTAATTTAATCGAACTTTATCATATCCAAGCATAAATATTAACATTTTGTTTTGTCATAGATAGCCTCATAAATGGTAAATGAAGTGATGCTAGCTATATCTTATTTAGCATCTATGGATGCATTTGATGTGATATTTGCAAGTTAAACATTAATACATCAAACTTTGAAAATATAATACCCCATAATATCATCAAAACTTACTTCACTTTATGTAGTCCACGGGCTAAAATGTGTGGCTTTAAGAGTCTTGTGCTCTGGGCTCAAAAGTAAGTCTGGTCCAGGGGTTTAGAAATCATCTGTGCATGTGATGGAGGAGTGCATGTAGGGGGCGTGGCCTCAGTAGCCCTGCAGTAAGCAGTGTATGTGATAGAGGAATAGCATAGATATTCAAGTGTACTTGCATGAAATCTGGTTGTTTTAGTCAAGATTATGCTAAAATATATTTCCTCCAACTAATTTATATTTAAGTTCCCTGTTCAGGGCCAACCTTCAATTTTGTAAATTCACAGTTTATTCCCATTTATTCCCATGAATTCCTGTTAATTCCCATTGAAAGTTTCCAACTTTGAAAAGTCCCGGAATTTTGCAACCCTAGTCGTCTCTCAACCGTCTACCATTTCTAAACTCATGGATGCTGACAGCCGTAGCCTGCACCCCTGAGTAGCTGCCCGACACACCTGCAGCGTGCTGTACTTCAGGCTCTGACTGTGACGGCGATATTTAAGAAAACTCTCACCACTCATATTCGAATGTGTTTATTCCGAGTGCACATTGTGCTGTTTGCCGTCCCTGTTTGTTTGTGTCTGTTAGAAGAAGCGGTTTTATCCAATGGCAACAAAACACTCAGAAATGGTTGCCAGTTTTTTTTTTTTTTTTTTTTTTTTGGTTGCCAGTGACAACCTGGCTGCTGTAACTGCGGCGCCCTGCAGGAGCTTCATGATGAGAGAGCAGGTTTAACTGTTAACCCTTATTATCTCTGTAGTGTTCTAACAGTTTGTCCCGTGAGGACAGTCGATGTCTCCATGCAAATCTGTCCCCTCATCACTTCACGTTCACAGGTGATATTTAGGCTCTGCTCGCTGAAGAACGACCCTCCCCCAGCCTGCAAGATGGCTCCTTAAAATTTGATTACCCTGCTGCTTCACAGATAATTTATCCCTGACCCCTTTTTGAAAACCTCTCAGGGACCCTCCCCCAGAAAAAGGTGTTTGTTCAGAGACGTTTATAAGTATGACGGTGTGAGCAGAGAGGAGGAGGGTAGAACGTGAGAGTGACGCAAGGACAGCGCTTTAGATTCCTGCAGAGGCTCGTTATAAAAACTACGACTTTGAAGGAAGCGTTGGTGGTTTTATCCGGCAGACACTGTTTGTTAATTCATTTAAACAGTCTCACAAAGCGTGAGGTCTGGGATGTGTTTCACCTCTTCTGTCACACATCTTTTTCTTCCCTTTGCTGCAGCGGTGAGCAGGCCCTTTCTTTTCCCTCTGCACAATGCATTGTGGGAGTTTTTCTTCTCAGTACACTGAGCTTGTTTCCTTGATTTGATATTTTCCAACGTGAGGAAACTACAGACTGAAACTGTGCAGAGCGAGCTGTGTAGGACCCTCACCGTGTCTGCTGGGTGAATGTTTGCTGCCATCTAGTGGTCACACCTGTGTGTTACTCATGTGTCTCATCCTCCAGTGTGTGCGTGTGTGCGTGCGTGCATGTGTGTGTGTTCGTTCGTTCCTGCTGAGAAATGTATAAACACCAGTCGAGTCTCCTTATACTGCACTGTTCCCTGTCTGTGACAAAGACTGGAAACTGTGCACAGTGGACATGTGTCTTTGTTATCTGCATGATTCTTTATTGATTGTGCATCAAAATTCAACTTCTCAGAGTAAACATGTATCCGTAATGCCCCTGTGCATGATGATTTAATCACAGTAACACTGAAAACACAACTTATTATCCAATGGTTTATAAGGAAGTTACATTTTGTGAAGTTTGTGTTTTTGTTTTTGTTTTCTGTCTGCAGGCATGGACGAGAGGTTATGTGTGCCTCCCCCCTGAAGGCCTCTGTCGCCCCCCACCCTCCGGTCCCTCTGTGACCATGTATCGCAGGAACGGCCTCTCAGATGGCACCAGCATCAACTCCATGACGTCAGAGGTAACAGCCTGTCATAAGCATCACGCCTCTGCAGTAACGATGAGCTGTGCTCCGTCATGCAGGTTTAATGTTGAGATGCCGAGACGTGCGCCGTCATGACAGCAGGTCCATCCGCCGCCGCCGTCACACACAGTGCTCGACTTAACCCCCATTCATCGTGTATTTCAAGCCACTGCTACACTTAGCGAACTACTGTGGTGGCCCCGCCTCATGATGTCATAATCTTTCTGTTCGTCAACAAATGCACGCTGTCTGTGAGGAGGAGGCGTGACAGCTCTCTGTGTTGTGTGCAGTGTCACTCAGAGACCTTTAATAGGCGCCAAAGCGTACCAACAAGGTCATAGAATTACTTCTTTAAATTTTTATTTTTGGGCAGTTATTGGAGAGACAGGACAACAGATAGAGTTTGAAATCAGGAGAGAGAGAGAGAGATAACTGAAGTGTAAAATCCTGCAGTGCCTCGAATGTCCACTAGAGGCTGGCTGCAGAAGCATAGGAAGTCACATACACAGCCATTCTAAAAAGCCTGTTTTTACAGCAGAGATTAACATGTTTACAGCCTGGTTCAAAAAACAAACAGGTCTGATTAGCTCATGTCTCGATCGACACACACTGTACGGGGGGTGAATGTTTTGATGACTCATCAGTTTTGATTTGATGAAGGATAAGAGTTATTCACAATAAGGCGTGTAGCTGACATGATTGACAGGTGGGCGCGGTGTAACGGTTTGTCAGGAGGTTAAAACCCGCCTCAGCTCCAGCTCTCAGTCTGTCGTTAGGTTGACTGAAAGTTAGACTGAGACAGCATTTCCAGCATGGAGACCACCATCGATGGGACTCCAGCGCCCCCTGCAGGAACAGATGGGTGACGTCACTCAGGCTTCAAACATTCATATTTGTTTAATTTAGTCAAACCTGAGATGAACATCTTTCTAAATGGTAGAAGAAGTTGTTATATTTTTGGATATATTAAACCACAGTCAGATAAATCTGACTATTGGTTCCATCTGTGGATGACTTTACGTCGACTCGTTCCAGAGAATCTAAAAATGACTCGTGCACGTGTCTTCATGTATACATCTTGTTCCTTTTTTTCCCCTCAGCTCTCCTTTCTTTGGTCTTTTCCGTGTGGTTGGGTTGATTGAAATTCCAGAGCTGATCCTTTTTTAACCCGAGGAGGAGGAGGAGAAGTTTAAACTGTTTAAACCAGATAAAATCATTTTTTAGATAAACAGGAAACATTGGAGGTTTTCATGCCAGATTATCATCAGTCACAGGCGGTGACGAGCCCCGAACGAAACATCTGTTTTCACTCCGGTTCATTAGAATAACTCGGTGATCACATTATGTAAGTGGCTCCTTTACTAAGTCTGCTGCCAGCGTTCAAACCGGCATTCAGAGGAGTCTTGGTGTAAATAAAGTTGAGTTTGAATTCTTCATTTTCATCCTGAAACTCAAACGTGTCGATCAGATTGATTCAACTTTATTTCCTTTTTTGTTTATTGGTGAACTTTTCCTTCACTGCATTGTCGTGATGGCCGCCATGACACACACGACATGTTTATCGTTGCCGTGGTAACCGCTGCATAACGAAGCGTGAGCTGCTCCTGAAAGCTGCCGTTCTGTTGCTGCATGAGCTGCTGTGATAAAAACAAAATCATGTAAATTATACTCGGATACATTAGCTTGTCTGTAAACATATTCTCTTCCTCAGGTCGGTTTCACCCGGTCGTCATGACTACGGTCAACTCGGTGGTCGTTTTGATCGGGGTTGGGGTGGGGTGGTGTGCACTAGAGAGAATTACTCCCATGATTCACCGCCACCCTTGACGTCATCTTATTTTATTGTTTTGTTTAAGAGCCCCCTGGTGGTGCAATTTATATACTGTGCCTTTAGTATAATTTTTTCTGTGTGTGTTTGTGTGTTTGTGTGTTTGTGTGTCCTGTAGGCGAGCAGCAGCTCTGACTCTCTGGATGGACCGTGTGTCGACTACGCCAAGAGCTACGATGCCGTCATCTTCGATGTTTTGAAGGTGACGCCCGAGGAGTTCGCTGTGAGTAACTACCACATGTGAAAAAAAAGTACGATGGCCGACAGGCGCGAGACCATCCCGCAACAGAATAATAAAAAAAAAAACATGCAGCAAATTCAGAAACCATATAAACGCAAAAGTCCAAAACAAATGCAACTGTTCAGATACTGGGGTCGGACGTGTCTCCCCCGCCCCCCTTCAGACTCTGACCTCCTGACGGTCCAAAGCCCAGCGACCGGCGTTGAGTAAAGGATGGTGGGTTAGCATCAAAGCTCAGTTAGTCCTGCAGTTAGCACAGCTCCAGGCATCCCGTGGCTCTGCTCTCTCATCCTCAATGTCACATTCTGTTCTCCACAGCGCCTCCTACAGGCCTGGAGCACTTCTGTATTCACAGCGTTCGTCTTTGTGCAGATGTTTGTCTGAATGTGTTTCTTTCTGATTTAGCATCGTTCTTGTTAATGTTGTTGTTTTGGCTTTTTGCAGCACGTTTCAGTCGTTGCATTCATTTTGGACTTCTGCATTTGCTTTTGAATTATTAAAGTTTCTGAATTTGCTGCAGGCTTTTGCCTTTGGTCGTCGTTTCAGCCGTTACAGGTCGGTTGCCCTTCTCGGCCGCCGTTGAAAAAAATCTCTTTACAGCCAACAAAAAGGAGCAGAATTAAACACATAAAAACAGCTTTGTGTGACAGATGCTGTAAATGTTGCTGAGTTATTTAGAGAGGAACAAAAATGCATAAAACGGATGTGTTATTAAAACTGCTTTATGTACTGTACGTGTTTTAAGGTCATGTTTGTCTTGTCTTTCGTTCTTTCAGAGTCAGATCACGCTGATGGATGCTCCCGTGTTTAAAGCCATTCAGCCTGAGGTGAGACACACAAACACTGTTTGTCGAACTTTTATAGATTTTAGCATTCGGATCCAGATTCATTCATTCTCTTACTCGACAGAGCTCGTCAGCTCGTTAGCTTGTTTGACAAAGTGGAGATAGTAGTGCTTCATTAATAGCCACATCATGATTGAAATGTTGACCTTTGACCCATATCGCTGTAAGTGATCCTTCTTAATGCCTTCAGTGATTTTAACAGAGTCGAGTGTAGTTTCAACCCACCGACAAAGACGACAGTTAAGAGAACTTTAGATGCACCCGAGGAAAGTAATAATGATTTTAATGGACTTTCAACAGTTTGTGATTTATTTAGAGATTTACATCTTGTCCTGAGAAATACGTCATGTTTTGCAGGACACTCCTCAGGGGTTCCCCCCCCCCCCCCCCACACACACACACAAAGACACACACACACACAAAGACACACACACCCACACACACACACACACACAGTCATTTTCTTATTTCTGCCCTGACGTCCTCCACAGCTGTGGTCACTCAGAGTCTGAAGCGTCCTCTGAATACCAGTGAACAACAAAGAGAAGAGCAGAGAGTGCGTGCGTGCGTGCGTGCGTGCGTGCGTGCGTGCGTGCGTGCGTGCGTGCGTGCGTGCGTGCGTCCTGCAGGGTTTCCTTTCATCACACTGATCACAGACTTCAAATAGCTCTTGATCAAACCTCACAGGAACCTCGTCTACGACTCCCTTTGTTTGAATGTTTCCCAAATGTTGACAGTTAGAGTTTGAGCTGTTCAAACTTTAACCTCTTATTGATGAATATCAGGAATTCAACCTATTAGATTTGTGTTTATTCAGCTAACCTGCCCTGATTACTGATTTCTGACTCCGTGTTTCCAGCTACAGAGAACCCTCAGGTCTCCCTCCTGTTTGGATTTAACATATTATTACCTAATCTAATTAAATGATCCGGGGCGGGTGCTTGTCCTCCCCTCACAGGTGATTGTGTCGCGTCTTATCACAGATTTAATGAAACCTACTGTTTGATGTGTTTTTAATGACCAACAGGAGCTCGCCAGCTGTGGATGGAACGGGAAGGAGAAACACAGTTTGGCTCCAAACGTGGTCGCCTTCACTCGCAGGTTCAACCAGGTACAGCCGTCTCTCTGCTTCACCTCGACTTTCTACAGCAAATATTTCATCATTAAAATCATAAACAAAATGAGGAAACAACAGCGGACCCTCCACACGAGCATGAAAACAGGATAACATTCACTTTGTGTGCATGTCTGTGTGCGTTTAATGTGTGTGTTATAATGCGTGTGTTTAATGTGTGTGTGTTGATGTGGTGATGTTTCAGGTCAGCTTCTGGCTGGTGAGAGAAATCTTGACGGCACAGACGCTGAAAATCCGAGCGGAGATCCTGGGTCACTTTGTCAAGATAGCAAAGGTGAGTTCAGACTCTAGGATAAACGCTGAAACATCGAGGGGTGTTCATATTTATTTATTAAAGGATCAAGACTTGTAGTGAGTGAAATGATGAAGAGAGCTTACTATATGATCAGACATTAAGGAAACATGCTATGTTGAAGTGCTGGCTTCTCTGACAACAATGCAGCAGCCAGTATGTCCTCCTACTAACTTTAGATTCTGGTCCTGAATGATCTGGATTTGTTTGGACCAGAGAATGTAGGCGGTTTTAAGGCCACACCCACACTGCCGTTTTGGACGCCCCTCGGTTTGTCAGATATGAGAGCAGTTATCAGGTCAAACCAACAGGTGTTGCAGCGATGGAAGCGGGCAAGAGAAGTGGTTCAGATAGAAGTGATTGTACCCGACCTAAAAAGCCTCTGCATGTTTCTAATAAGCTCCACGAGCAGAAACGTGCTCAAACTAGGATCAATATTGGAGATGATTTTGAAAAATGGAGAGAGGTTAGAACACACAAAGGTTTACAGACCGATGCAGAGCTGGATAAACACTGAAGCTTCAGTGTCCACCACATGGTGACCTGTGTGAGCATCAACTCTAGAGAGGAGTGGGGGGGGGGGAGACAGCTCTCTACAATGTTTAGAATTTAGACTGCAGTACCCATTTTAAACACTAGGGGTCAGAGCTACATACTGCTCCTTTAAAAAAGAACTTATTATTTAAATTTATTTTTGTGCTGTTAATTTATCGGCTTCTGAGGTATCTGTCTCTGTTATGATCTCATTAAGTGATAATTTGATCCTGACACGTTGGGATTCTCTGTGAAGCTGAAACATGTTTTTTCAGAGGATAAAAAACATCTGTTAATAATCATAAGAAGCTACATTTTAAATCCTTTGCTTTTAATGTGTCTCTGCCAGCAGCTCGTTAAACTAACTCGGCTCAGGATCCAATAAACTCTGAGCTGCTGTATTAAACTGTATTACTCAGCAGAGATAGAGGAATCACACTCACTGATGATGACAATGTTTCTCTTCCTGTGATACATCAGAGGAGCAGGAGGAGTTTAATCTCTGGTGTCTGTGAAGATATGAAATCACATCTGAAAGTACAGAAACAGGTGTTAAACTGACTGTGTGTGTCAGTGCAGAAATACGGTCTGCTGTAATCAATTCTGATATTAATCAGACGTCCCAGGGTTCCTGATTATAAACTGTATATACAAATGGACATGGTGCCTCAGCCTCCTCCCGTTGAACATGATGAAGCCAAAATATCCCCTTGACCAGGGCTGACATGTTGTGAGTCTGTGCTGGAAGAGCGGCAGTACTGGCGTAACACCGCTTTGAAAACACACATTACACTTGCATATGAAAAGGTCAAAGGTTGCTCAGGTGGGTTCAGTCCACAGCAGAACAGATTCCTGTGTCAGCTTGAAGCAGACACTCACAGTTATAAAAAGTTCAATGACTCTTGTTTTAGTGTTGGTGACATTTCCTCTCACCGTTTCTGCTGTACTCTGACAGTAGAGGTGGGGGTATCTCAATTCTCAGCAAAATGTTTAAAATCGCAATAATAATGATCGTGACTCAAGTATCGTGATAATATCATATCGTCGGGCCTATTGTGATTCTCCACCTTTTCAAACAGTCCCCTGTGGTCTAAATGAAACATCTGTGCTGTGCTTTGGTCAAAATATAACATGAATCAAGCACCAGAGGAGGTTTGTGACCCTGTATAAACCAGCTCTCTCAGAACGCTCCATTTTGGTGTGTGTGTCTCTTTAAATGTAATGACCCCCCGATGAGTTTTCCTCGTAGACGTCACTCCTCTGTAGAGAGAATAAAAATGGTGGAAGTTTTGCTCTAGGCTGGTGGTGGAGTCCATGGGTGGAGATACTATTCACATTTTCACATTTTGTGGGTCTGTAGACACTCAGGTTACCCAAATATATGTTCAGAAACACTGTAGAAGTGGATTTTTCATACTATGCCCCCTTTAATTATCGTGACAAAGCTGGGTGTCATGTTTGCTGCTTCCTGTTTGGTGTTTTTTTTTTTTTTTACTTTGTGTGTTTGTTCTCAGAAACTGTTGGAGCTGAACAACCTCCACTCTCTGGTGTCGGTGGTGTCCGCTCTGCAGAGCGCTCCCATCTTCAGACTCAGCAAAACCTGGGCGGTAAGTATTCACACCTCTAACCCTGGACTCACTCTTTAGATCAGGGTTTCCAGAGAGAAACACATCTCGTCTCTAATATTATATAATGTTGGAATGATCATGAAGAAAGGGATCCAGATCTTAGTGGACTTTTCTTTGTGACCATCACTCAGAGAAGAAGAGAGGACAGTCGTTTCCTCCTCTCACACAGTTTGTTGGTGAGATCTTCAGGGACGGTTCCTCCTCCAGAACCTTAAAGTACAATCTGTGCGGTTCTGGTTTTTCTATCTCAACATGATGAATCCTGTTTTCGCCGTTCTGGATGTGCGTGGATCCAGCGGGGCCGGGACACATGGAGAAACACTCGGTGTGTTCATCAACAGGACGTCTGTTGATTGTGATTGATGAAGCCGCACAGAAGGAAGCTGACTGTGAAGAGGAGGGACGTTTATAAACTAAACGACTCATCCTGCATGAAGACGAGGATGTTTTATTTGTAGAGTTTCCAAATGAAATCATCTCAAAGGACCCTTGGGATTTTAAACACCTCATTTCTAAAAGCTCCTGATCCACAACCATGAAAATGATCAGCTGTGTTTATGCACCTGACTCCAGGGAAGGCTGAAACTAGGATTTATTTTCCTCTTAGTTTATTTTGCCAGATTAAATTTTTGTCATTAAAGAGTACTCATCAGAGTTTTGTTGTAGCTAAGAAGACTTCTCCATGCTGCTTATTTTGTCTTTGGAACACTTTAAACGCCCCAGAATTAATTTTATTTAAGATGACAAAGAGCCGAGGCAATGGCATCCATGTTGGCCATAACTTAAACCAAAGTTTTCCAAACGTGTCTGAATCGCTCAGAGTGATGAAGTGCAAACCTTCGTCCCTCGCAGAGCGTCAGCAGAGCCTGATGAGCTGGACGCTGCAGAGAGGGAAAAATACCTCGGACATAAGTTTACTGATGGATCATTGTTGAATCTGTTCCATGGTAAACGATTCTCCAGCTGTAGTAACAACGTCTGGACCGTGATCACACTCTGATTACAGTCCAGTGACATTGTAATGTAATTATCTGAGTGTTTCCATCCAGGAGAAACTAAACCCCTGACTTTCTTCTTCTTCTCTGTTTTCTGCAGCTGATCAGCCGCAAAGATAAAGCCACGTTTGAGAAGTTAAACTATCTGACGTCCAAAGAAGAAAACTACACCCGCATGAGAGAGTACATCCGCTCCCTGAAGATGGTGCCCTGCATCCCCTACCTCGGTGAGTCCTCCATCAGTCCACTGTGACGATACCAAACCATATAATAAAATACCTCGCTGTGATGCAATACAACATGAAACTATATGAAAAGACCCAATAATAATACCATAAAATATTCAACTCTACAACAGTTAGTTCAGACCAAGCAATCTGATTGGACAGGAGGCATCACTGGGACTTTTCCCGCCATGTATCCCTCCTCCTTAGCATGAAGGAGCTCCGAATACTTAGAATGAACATTTACAGCTGTCAGAGTTTTCTGTATTCATCATCTCAAACCTCAGAATCTCACCACAGACTCTGATCTCTAAACTCTTACCTTTTTAGTTGACGCCTCATTTGGCCAATTAGGATCTTCCAATTCGCTGTTCCCAGCCTGTAAGAGCCAATGAGAGCCTGAGTTGAAAGGAGGCGCCTGCCCCTGTTTTGATGAATCTGTACCCGACCAATTGACGTTTGTTGTAGCCAATGAAATTCTGAAAACAGGGATATGCGTATGAATTTTTCTAAAAGTAGACATTGAGCACCCCCACGTAGCTGGAATGGAACGATCCTCTTCTTATTGGTCGGTGTGCGACTCTGAGATCGGCAGTCGATGGGGGAACAAATGGTTGAGGTTTAGGGTCGACTGCCATAGGGTACGATTCAATACCACACAAAACAATAATCTAAGATACAACAGGACATGGTACAGTTGGGTTCAACACTACATGTCAGCCCTGTGATTGGCTGGTGAACAGTCCAGGGTGTAACCCCGCCTCTTGCCCAATGACAGCTGGGATCTACTCCAGCGACCTTGAACGGGAAAAGTGGTAAAGATGATGGATAGACTGACACAATATGATATGATCGATACGATGTGATCGTGTTGGTTGGCGTTAATCAAAGATGGAAGTGACTGACATGAGAATAAAGAGCGATTTCAAGGACGTTTCTTCGGGTCAGGAAGTGAAATTAATCATGAATGTTGGATCTGAATAACACAAGAATGACGAGCAGAAACACAAGCATGGCTGTACATCGTTTATTGCAATATTTGAAACTATAAAAATAACAGAGCGCTGTTCATTCTGTGTCTGCTTGTTAACACACTGACTGAAACCTTGGGAGAGCAGACAGATAAACTCTGCTGAGCTGGTCGGTTACAAATAAAACCTTCAAAATGGTACATTTATTATTTTCTGTAATCGTTGAGGGATAGCTGTCCTGTACGAGAGTGGGTGAGGCTGGTGCAAAAGTTAAAGCACTGAAATCTTCAGCATCAAAACATTGATGTTGTTTTTTCTGAAAGGTGACGATGTATTGGCTTATCAGGATGTAAAGATGGAGGTCTTCTGACAGAGGATGTTCTTGCACCATCAGTGGGAGCAAAAATGAGTTGACATGTTGAACTCGTTCTTTCACATAGTTAAACTGGAGCCGTACATACGACCATACATTTTAATAAATGTTAGTTCACAAAGGCCAAGGGGTCCCGCTCTGCTGTCATGCCAGTGTTTTCTTAACAGCTGATTTCATGCAAGCCCTCATCAGCTGATAAGCTTCAAAGCCTCCTATTGGCTGATGATCACACTCATGCCGCCTTATTTAAGCTGCTCTAGCTGCCTACTCTTTGCAGCTCCCTCTGCAGGCTTCATATGCTCCCCTCCTCCACCCAGATCCTCCTTTATTGTGTCTGACTTAAGGTCATGATGTTGTCATTGATGTTTGTTGTTTGGGGTTTTTGCTGCTTCTCTCCCTGACTTAGGCTAACCATGTAAGCACAGGGAGATCCAAGACATGAGCCATACCACCAAAAATAAATAACTGCAAATTAACTACAAACTAGTCCAGACTGAACTTTGTTTTCCCCCCGAGATCTCGACTTATTCGCTTCCTTACCTCAGGATACCAACGCTGGGTTTCCTTTGATGAAGAAATCATTCCAGGTTTTTTTTGGATCTCAAGAAACTGTTTTATCAACACAGAAAAACCAGCGTTGTTAGCCCGAGATAACGATGTGAGTAAGTCGAGATCTCGAGCAAAGCAAGTGAAATGTTCTTGTTATCCGAGGATGATTGAGTTGAATAAACGTATGAATGTTTGTCTGTTAAGTTAGTGAAGAAGCAAACAAATCGCTAACTGACATCCCCTTTAATAGTTTACTGAAATAAATAGCTCGATTCCTCCTCCATGGATTTCATCTCGGTCTGTGTTGTTGTGTTTATGGTGCGTTCCATTGGATCTCGGAAAGTCGGAAATCCAGAGTTCAGGTCTGATATGTCTTCAGGAAGTCGCCCCCTGAAGTCAGGATTCAGATTCAGAGAACCTTTGGTAGCCCGAGTTAAAATCCAACATGGCCGATTTGTGCATCAACAGAACAGTTAAGCTGTAACTGTTGTCTTTATTAGCAGCGTTGTCCTCGTTTTGTGTAGTTAAATCAATCACAAAGATAGTTAGGGATTGGGAGTCTTTGGCTCTCTCAAGATTCAATTGAGAATCTATTTTCGATTCCAAACGATTCTGGATTCATGGAGCTGCTCCAGTCATCTGTGAGACTGGCTGAATTTCTTGTTGCTCCATTTGACATTCTACTGAGTTAAAAAGCCAGCCTTAGCACTCAGCAGGGAGTGACTGATCAGCCAAAAAAAACTGATTTTTGGAATTTATTAATCTATTTCAAATCTCAGAAGATAAGAATCTCCATTTTTACACAAATCAATTTTTTCCCCCACCCCTACGGATATTCCAGGATCGTATAAGTTCTACCTGTGGACATGTTGTCCTGTTATTATCGCATGTAAACTATCACTTTGTGTGTTGTTATCGTCTGGTATTAGCTAACAAGACAAAGGTGCTCCTGGAGGCATCCATGTTGCTTGTCCAATTTGTTGCTAACTCGCAACTGGAATGCGGTTAACTCAGGTGTGACGTCATTCCCAGTTCAGAGATCCGAGGTAAATGGAACGCACCATTATGCTATACAAACACCACTGTGATCTCAGTACTGGTTTATTATACCAGTTCATCCCCATCAGTCAATAATAATCCCTGAATGTAAACTCAAAGAAATCTTTTAGTATTTATTGAAGTCCCTGATGTGCACAGTAACACCAGTAACACCAGTAACACCAGTTGACTTGATCGAGGTGTGTGATGAAAAGTTGAACTTTGACCTGTAAGGAGAATAAAATACAGAAACTGTGCGGGGATCATCAGACGTGGTTCCAGCCTCGTTATGACTCAACGGTTAAATGTCCAACAGAAGAAAACGCAGAGGCTGAAGATGAAATGAACGCCGCCTGATGGATCCCTTTTTTGTTTGTCCATTCAAACCAGTCCTTAGTGTCACTGGAAGGTGTTCCCGTTGGGTCGGATCATCATGGTCACTCTCTTCAGAGAGTATGAGCCTCCTCTGAACTCGGCCCAGTAGACCCCGTCCTGGTACCGGCTCTTGTAATGTCCGCCGCGGTACCACACGCCGTTCAGGTTGGAGTGAGCGCAGGCGTTGTACCACCAACCGCCCTTCTGGTAGTGAGCACAGTTACCTGCAAACACGAGACAAAACCAGTCAGAACGAGGGGAGGGGGGGGGCGCTGTAGACGTATCTCCAATCACACAAAGACAGAAGAGTTCCAAAGAAGAAGAGAAAATCACATCAACGTGGCAGAATGGCGTTTGTTGTTGCCCTGCTGTCGTTCTTGTTCTGCTTGTCTTTAAATATCAGGTTTTCATTATCTGATCATCAGGATGCACTGACTGCCACTACTGCTCTGACTACATTTGAGATGCTAAATTAAAGACCTGTGCTGCAGCTCCACGAGTGTTCAATGGTGGACGTTACTCTCCTAAGCCCTTTTTGTCCTCCAGGCCTCTTGATGGTCACATGACTGAAAGCTATGATTTCCATCTTGGTACTACCTTTTTCAACAGAGCAGTGAGGCAGAATAAAGGAGCAGCATTCTCGCCATTAAGAGGCTAAAAGTGACTTTCAAATATTTGTAAGTCGAAACAAATCTATGAGGCTGCTATGACCTGGGAGGCAGAGTTGGTGGTTTGATCCCCACCCTCTTCTCGTCCTTATTTTGAAGCGTCATCAGGCGCTCAACCCTTAAAGGCTTTATATGCGATTTTTCACACTTAAATATAATAGAAATCAAGTAAATCCTCTGAAAATAACTCTGTGAGTCATGACTGTCTACAATGGGTGTAACACCCGAGTCCCACTGTCTGTGATGCTTTCAGAGTTTTCAGAGTCCTATCTTCACTTTGTTTACATCGCCCGGACGGCTGGCTGACTCCTCCCCTCGTGTATAAAAGTTGTTTAATTGAGGGACTAGAGAAAAGAAGAATAACATACTGTACTCACTGCTTAACTGTGTTTCTAGATCACGCTCATTTCGGTTAAATTTACATGCAGTGTGAAGATACGACCATAATAAAGATCGCTAGCAAGCATGCTAACACAACAATGCAGCGCAAGTTGTTTTGGTTTCATGCTGGTGCTCAAGGGCGACATCTGCTGGATCAATAAATCGCATATAAAGCCTTTAACTTCTCCCAATAACCCCGTACAAGGCGTGCATCCCTACTATTGGTGTTTTGTTTTTTGCATTAATGGGTTCAATCATCAGGTAAACCAGTTGCCAACGCAGTCGCTGTTTTTTTGCAACTGAAAAGCGCACCAACATTCAGGATGGCGGTTGCCTTCCCTCACCTGTGTAGACGTCGTGGTCTCGGTCCAGTGTGGTGAACTGCTTGCCGTTGTGCCATGTCAGAGAGTCTCCGGCGTTGCCATGGTACCGGCCCACTCGCAGCTTGTAGAAGTCGGACTCGGGCTCCAGTCTGAAGCTGGCGTACTCTGCGAAGGTCCTCCGTCCCGTCCAGTCCTCCAGGGTCACCAGCAGCTTGTAGGTTCCCTGATTGGTCAGCCAGTGGATGTTCTCCAGTCCCAACCAGTACTCCCCGTCGATGTTTCCAAAGCCTTGCTGTGAAAGAAAGACATGAAACCAGTCAGGGACAACTCTTTCCTACCACATGATTCACCTGGACATGCCAAAGTGGTGCTCTTGTTTTTAAACGTTACAAGAGAGAAGCAGTCCCCCTCCCCCCACCGCCGTCTTGGACGCACTCGAGAACTTCCAGAAACAAACCAACCGTGTTTCCAGCGTGTGGCGAGGCTGATGTCAGAGCGAGAGGCTGAGAGTCGCGGTCAAAGCAGCAGAGTTCCCTGTGTGTCTGAATCCAGCTTCACTTACATCACACATGGATTCAATCAGGAGGGATTTTTTCTCTGCCAGATGAGAGCGTGTAATTGGCTCTAAGTGATGTATTGAGTCATGGGAGGGGGGGGGGGGGGGGGGGGGGTTGGAGGACGACTGTGGAAGAACTTTGTTGGTTTTGGTTTTGTTTAAAGTTCTGAGAGTTTCTGCACATTGAGCTGTCCTCACCTCAGACCACAGGATGTTCATCTTTAGCATCAGACTGGCCAACGCTTTACAGAAGCCGACGGAATCCAAAGACTGAATAAAACGTCTTCAGAGAAAACGTGCGCTTGCCGTGTCTTCCACCAACGGCTCGTTGCCTTCTTGGATGTGTGCAGCTCTGAGAACATGTTTGTTTTCTATGATTGGATCTCAGTTCTCGTGATGTGATCTCATGGATTATTCTCTGTTTTTCTTAAGATTACTCACATGTTACACAACGAGGTGGAGCGGCCCAACACGCTCTGTTTGTCAGAAGACAGACTTCAGCTGTGAGAGCTTAATGTACTTTAATCATTTCATCACTGAGACCTTTATTCACCTCCCCAAAAGCGTCGGATTTTCCTTCTCAATTAGGATTTATTGGATGTAATTGTTGTATGATGGGAACGCCAACCTAAATGTTAACTATAATAACTTCTATTTCAACATGTTGGGGAAAGAATTGAGCTTTTTAAAAAGAAATCATCTCATGCTGTTTCTTGTTCCACTTCACTGGAATACAAATATGACAGAGTACCTCCGACTGATTTAGATGAATTGCTTTAACATTTTGTGAGCTCGGACTAATGTTGCTAGAACCTCAGTGTTGTTGAAACATGAACCTGATAGCAGATAATGTTGGGAGAATAATGAGTGATGGAAAACGATCGGGATGGTGCAATGAAATAAAACGACCTGTTTAAGACCTGGAGGAAGTGAGTGGAGTTAACGGTCAAAGTGTAAAAAACGTGTGCATGGTGCATCCATGATGATCCATGAAATGTGTGATAATGTAACGCTTCAGGTCAGACATGGAGGTCAGGACACCTCTGGATCAATCTGAAGATAATTTTTTAAATCTGTCTTTCATTCATTATTCAGTTTAGGAAAGTTAAGAGCTGAATTACTGGAGATAATCAGATTAGTCTCCAGCTCGTCTTCATGACGATGATGCAGATTTGGGACTTCCTGTTTCTTATTCTCTCTCCTCTTTCCGTCTCTGCAGCGGCTCTCTGCTTCTTCACATGTTGTTCATATTAAAAGTGGTTTCAGATCTTCTTGCAGCTCAGTGGAAAACAGTTTTTGTTTGGTCAACCACGACTTTGGTAGACACTGAAACATCTTAATGACTATCAGATGTTTCTGCACTAAATTATCTACACTGATGGATCCCAGAGGAAAAATCGCACTGACATTATTCATCCCCTGATGTTTCCTGTTGCTCCACCAAGACGTACTGAGACGTCTTAACGACGGTGGATTGAATTCAGTGAAGATGCTCAGAGGATGAACCCCTTCTCTTTCAGCATGTTCACGTTGTTGCATGTTGTCGAGCTTGTTTGAGACACACAGCTCACTCAGTCCATGTGAGGATTGTTTCTCTGTGCAGCAAAATGTGCTGAAGCAAGTCCTGCATCAGCATGCTGCATTTCATGAATATGTATTGGGGCAAACTTTGGCTTTTTCCAGTACTAAAGATCATAGAAGTTTGGATGTTGGAACAAAGTCTAAGTTTGCACGTCGACTTGGGTAAAAAGGCACATGTAGCTAATCTCCACATTCCCAATGTGCCGCCTCACAGAGATACTAGCATGGCTGCAGTCTTTAAATCATGCTTCTGACTCTTCCTGCGTTCAGATCATCTCTGTGTATTTGCAGCTGAATGTCTCAGAACCATCTTGTAACCAGTTTACGGTACAGTACTGTAGATGGTTGTGTAGAGCCTCGTCATCGTTACCTTGTACGTCTCCCAGTTCCTGAAGAAGTTGACGGATCCGTCCTGGCGTCTCTGGATGACGGTCCAGCCTCCTGGGTCGTGCCTCTGGTCGCACCACACCTGCATGAGTTTGTTGCTGTTGTCTGGTTTGAGGAGGAACATGCCGCTGGTGGAGTATCTGCTCTCCAGAGCCTCCAGACAGTCTCTGAACGGACCTGCAGGAAAAAGACACATCATGCTCAGTGAGGGAGCTGTGTGTGGCTGGCGTTCACTTCCTGCACTGTGCTGCGGTCTGCGGGAGATCTTCCCAACAGCCTCTGCAAGACGCCGACAACATCAAACAGAATACTAAACACAGAGATGGAGAGAAGTGACAGCTGACCATGTGGTTTGAGAATTAACTAAAGCTTTCCATTCCGTGATGCTGGCAAACATTCATTCAACCAAAACGTTATATAAACTGTGCTGCTAACATTTTACTGCACATGGAAACACAGAGAGAGAGCACATTAAAATGAGTCACTCAGACTTCATCAAACCGTTACTTAAAGGTGTCGGTGGCTTAGTTTGTCCACCTTTAAGTCCCAGAAAGCTTTGCAGCATTGTGGATACACAATAGTGATGCTACTGTGTGTATGAAGGATAAACACTAGAGGGGGTCAGAGAGTCTGCATGTTGAGACACCAAGCAGCATGGGGTCACTTCTCTGTTACTGACAATCAGCATCTGGATCTGAACAAGTCTGATCAAATCATAGTCTGCATGATTCTTCTGAGACTCAAATATGAATCCTAAACAAAACAAAGAAATCGTGACCTTTGTCAGTGCTCTCACCTGAGGGCTCGTTAGTGAAGCTGTAGACGGTGCTGGGCATTGTGGGTAGTGGAGGCGGTAAGGCTTTGGCATTCTGGTCGTTCTGGATCTCGTTGGTCATGGGGTTGTTGGTGTGTCGGGGGTATGTGGGGGGGTGGAAGGGCCTGTACCCTCCGGGAGAGAGAGCGGGTCTCTGAGGCGGGGGAGGAGGGAGGACAGGAGGCTGAGGCTGGACTGGACGACTCCTCTCCTGCACCCCTCCGTATGTTTGGTGTCCTCCCCCATAGGAGTGTCCTCCCCCCCTCCTGCAGGTCTCCTCCAGCTGCTGCAGCAGGGCGCTCTGGTTGCTGGCAAGCGCCGTCAGGTGCTGGTACTTCAGCTCCAGATCTTGGTATCGCGAAGCGAGTTGGCCCATCGAGTTGGTCTGGTTGAGGACCCGCGTCTCGAGTTGCGACGCCTCGAGGGCATTGTCCCGTTTGCGGATGATCTCGTGCAGGAGCTGCATGTAGAGCTGCGTCACTCTGGAGTTCATGTTGCGGCTCTCTTTCCGGAGCAGCTTCACCTCGTTCACCAGACCCCCGTCCACCTCCACCAGCCGCTGCAGCACCTCGATCTGCAGCCGCTGCTTCTTCAGCTCGCTGTTCAGAAGCTCCAGCTCCTGCTTGTTGACCCGGTTCTCCAGCAGGGCATCAGGCTCCTTTGAGTTCACACAGATGGCCCCTGTATTTTTCTGCTGAGGGACGATGAAGGTGTAGGAACATTTGTCTGTTTGGGTCGCGCTGTGGTCGACCACGGCACGTTTCTGTCTGTTTGTTGTGTACAAAAAGTCTCTCTCCAGGATGTTATCGCTGGTCCCGATATCCTGAGCCTCGTCCTGGCGAGACAACTCAGGTCCAGAGAGAACCAGGACCAGCAGCAAAACCACCACAGGGACGATCATGGCACAGTCCGGCTGCACCACTAATAAGAATCTCTGCAACAGAGAGGAAGGGGGGGCACAATCAGTTGAAGTTTCAAAGGCACACAGTCTATGTTTTTGCAGTTTTTGCTTCTCTTCCAAATAAATCATTTTGCACATTACATTTCTCTTGTGTCTGCAGGAGCACAAATCTGCTTCGGTTTAGTTTTTCTGTTTCTGTTTGTACCTTGATGGAAAAGTTGACTCGTCAAATACATCCTGAAGTCACAGAGCAAAAAGATCATTCACTTGGAGAATATTCTTGTTGCTTGCACACTTTGAATGTCGGCTTAGTTTTCGTCTGTATTCATTTTGTTAACAAAAAACGTGAAAAATGTTGAGACGAGTTAGTGAAAAGCTAAAAATAGATCTTTGACAACTCTGAAGACACATTTTGTTTTCACTGACAAGAGACGAGGCTAAAATGTTTGTGGTGGTCTGTTGGACATTTACAATCCACTGTTGATCGAAGCTGTCCTTGTGAGCTGCCAGGCAGGAAGCAGCAGCTGGAGGAGGAGGGGGTGCGTGAGTGCGTGCGTGCGTGCGTGCGTGCGTGCGTGCGTGCGTGCGTGCGTGCGTGCGTGAGTGCGTGCGTGAGTGCGTGTGAGTGCGTGTGAGTGAGTGCGTGTGAGTGAGTGCGTGCGTGCGTGGCAGAGCAACAGAGAGAGCACAGCTGACGTGTCAACGAGCGTTCACAAGCTAACGATGGCCTGCCCAAGCTGTGAGTGACTCAGGTCTGTAAAATGCTAAGGCGTCCCTTTAAACCGTTTATAGGATAAATCGAATGTGCAAACATTTATGACACTTTGACGTCTTGACACCAACTTCTCGTTACTAAAAGGGTCAAAATGACTAAAATGTGACTAAAACTACTTCACACTTCCCTCTAAGGACTTAAGACTGAATCTAGAATAGTTGCAGGATCTGACACTTTGGCTCTGTGTGTGACTGTTTCTGAGGATCTCACGTTCTCACACACTTGATGCTGTAATGGGAAGCTGTGCAGAAGTACAAAAGGGGAGCCATGGTAGCAGATTGTTTTTCAAGCTTTCATCACCGCTAACGTCTTCCAGGAGTCTCAACGTGTCCCTTTTTATCCACATATTTAAAAGATTATCGAGTCCAGTCCCCCCTGGCTCGGCCGCTCTGAGCAACTGTAAACGCCTCGGCCTCCTGACGGGGTCATACAGAGTAGTTTTCTGAATCATAACCAAGGATGAAGCTCTCATTTTAAATAATGACAGATCTATATGCTCATATAGAAGTCCAGAAAACGGGAGAACAGCTCTTTTTGACATTTTCTCTAAAAATACTTGTTTCATTCTTTTAATAATTCATAACTTATCAGAGATCTTTAATGAACAGAGAGACCCACGCACTGACCCTGACTTGGATCATTCCAGTGAAAACATGTCCTCTTTATTAAACTATGACTAAGATGTCCTGCTCACGCTCTATTGTCTCAGACGTTGTGTAACAACACTTGTCTCTGTGTTTTCGATGCTGCTTCTCTTCTGGTTTTGGGGCTAAAATGTTTCACTGCTCGGGAATGTTCTCCAGCAGAAAGAGAGGATCCTCCCCTCGCACAGTCTCTGTTATCACATGTTACTACATCATCACACCTTCTGCCAGCGGTTGCCTCAGATCAGCCGATTCTGTCACTGTTGGTGGACATCATTGTTTTCCCATCATGCAACAGGCTCTGTGGTTTTGGATCAAAGACTGTAAATCAAATTTATGGTGCACATCGGTGAGCTCAGCATGTGGGCAGAGAAAAGTTATTTAGTGTTTTCATATTCCTGCTGCAAGGCAAAAGAAACTCATGGAGTCGTCTGCAGAACATAAAAAACGTTCCCAGAGCAACACACGAGTCCCCGCATCACGTCCAACAAATGCTTATGAGGCAATCTGTTTTAAGGAGAAGTGCTCAACTGTTGGAAGGTGGATGAAGATTTGTAGACGGGTTTGTAGAGCCGAGGAAACACGTCTCCTGGTCCGGCATGCGGCGGTCAGAAGGACTTAAATCACAACTGCACAATATTTTGGAATTCCCTTCACCGTCTTTTCACTCAGTATGTTTACAAGCAGTTCAAATATGTTCATTTATCGTGGTAGTCAGACTTAAACCAGACTTTTAAAATTAATTTTAACGTCTTTGTCAATGGTTAACAAGGCTGCAATTTTGATTAAAAACGTATTAAAGGTCACATTTTCTGTTAATACCCTTCACCCCTAATATGTTTCTCTAGTCCATCTACAAACCCCCCAATGATGCTCCTCTTTTCAGAAAATGTGTGCTCAAACAGGCTGTTAGGAGATTTTCCCTTCATGACATCACAAAGGGCAGTAACCCCTCCCCCAGGTGGGTGACACGCCCACAGCTAGGTGTTTGTTCTGCCCTCTGAGTCTGCCTTCTCACTGTAAACAATAGGACATGGAGCGAGAAAGCCCAAGACACCAAGCCAGAGAGGGGGCGTGGTCAAACACAGCTCATTTACATATTTAAAGGTACAGACACAGAAATGAGCTGGGCTGAAATAGAGGAGTTTATAGACATGATCAAATACAGGATCAAAGTGAATTTAGAACAAGAAACTTCACACACATGTTTTGAGGAGCTCTGAGACTTAATTACACTAGTTCAAAAAGGAGGAGGATATGTGACCTTCAAATCTCACCCCCTCTCTATTTGTACTTAACCATCTATTCAGCTAGCTTCCAATAGTTGAACCCATGAAATGATGCAATTTGTTGCTCATTTTTGTTTCCATGGTACTGACAGGTCTCGATATCTTTTGGTATTTACGAGTATCATATCCAAGTTTTAAATTGTGGGGGCGCTGGTGGCGCAGTGGTTAGTGCGCGCGCTGCCCCACGTATGGAGGCCATGGCCCAGGTTCGAATCCCACCTGTGGCTCCTTTCCCACATACCATTCTCTCCTCTCTGTCCCTGATTTCCGACTGTCCTATCTCTCCATTAAAGGCACAAAAAGCTAAAACATAAATCTTTAAAAAAAAAACAGCCGCCCTCCGACCAATGGGGTGATGTCACTGCAGCTACGCTCACTTCTATTTAAACTCAAACATCCTCTTTGGTTTTATTTCAGATTATAACATCACAACGTTTCACACAGAATGATCTGAGCTTCACGTTAGCTGTGAAACGTGTGTAATCCAGCTTGTATTCCCTGATCTCCAGCCGGGGAAGTGTTTTTCTTTGGCTTTAAAGTGAGTTGGACTCATTAATCAGTTACTCGTGTTTCTACTGCCGGGCCTGAATCTCTCTGCAGCACTAATTTAATTGGACACACTTTTAAACGGGCCCAGACCACAGACACGTGTTTTAGATTATGCGATTTCCATGTCTGTGTTATCTGACATGTTCACACTTGTTCATCAGACGTTTGGCGCCGACACGGACTGAGGCTCAAACTGTTAGTAGAATAATCGGTTCATGGGTTGGACTGTTGACAGAGAATAGTGGGTGAGTCGTTTAATAATGGAAAAATCACATAAGTCTACTTTAGAGGAAACCTGCCGACGAGGTTATCTCTATTTCTAGAGCTGAGATGCGCCGCCTAGTGGCCATGGCTGCATTACAGCTTAGACACAACATTTAACCGTCAACGATGGCCTACATTCAGGTTGAAAAGTGAGGATGAAGGGGTTAATCGTTTAAAGTCGACCCATTCAGCTGATCTCCATCTTCATAAAGTGTTACCATGCTGGACGTTCAAACTAAACGTGGGTAAAGTTTCAGATCATGAGGTAAACGCATGTTGGAGTAATCCCAGGAGGAGTCTGCAGAGGGCACTAAACGGCTTGTTCTGCAAATCACGCCATAGTCCCCCGATATGAAATGAAGAATTTCACAAGACGGCTTCAGTCCTCCATGATAGCGTCTGAAACCTCTTACATAGACTCTCTTCTCCCAGCACTGAAGTACAGCCCTCCCCTGGCAGCCCTGGCAGCCCTGCAGCGTTATGCCCCCAGAGAGCTGGCCAATCAGAAGAAAGTTGGCATGTGGGGAGGCGGGGCCTTAAAGAGACAGCAGCTGAAATAAGGGCTTTTACTGACACCGGGATCAGATAAATAAGATCGTGTAAAGCTGCTCTGTTGGTTTCACAGACTGACGACATGATGGGGGGAACATGAGGAGGAGACGGGAGCTTTAAGGTGACTCGTCATTTTCATCCCTTATTCGCTGAACGCTGCCTCCTCCTGTTCGTCACCCTTTAGAGATCTTTATACACTCGCAGCCTGTTGGAGTCTGGACCAGTCTCAGGTTTTCCTCTCGGCTGTTGGACAAAGTAGACGTTGTGACTTTCATGGTGTAGAGTGGTGGAAACAGAGCGTGGATGAACATGAGAGAGAGCTCTGTCTGCTGAATGAGATGATTGAATGAGAGGTTAACCACACCGAAGTTAAAACGAGCCTCTGTGTTCTGATTCATTTTTTACTGTCAAAGACTGAGTCTGTATTTCTTAATGGGGTCTCTGTAGAGCGACACTGTTCAAACATGAGGTGGTTTTATATCGTAGACCCTGATGGAGAGGATTCTGAAGCTCGTCTATTTAACTTCTCTTAGTGCTGAAAATGTGATGCAGCGTCCTTAGGGCTCATTTTGCACAAATGAAACTCTTGGCGTGCTTTTATTAATGTCCTTCAGAAAAGTGCAGCGATTCGACTGTTTTCTATTTTGTGTTTTATTTTTGTCCTGAAACCAGGAAATCAGTGGTGGAAAGATTTCTAATAGATGTGGTTTTGAAGCTATCTGCAGTGTTTTTTTTAGCTCTGTTTAAGAGTTAATTTCTCTCCTGATCATGGCATAAAGTAAGCCCCGCCCCCAAACACCTGAACGACGGCGTCATCACAACAAACACACACACACACTTCAATCCTAGAACATATTTCTCTGTCGAACACGCTGTGCTGTCGTACTGAATAGTCTGTTAATGAGCTGAGTGCACATGTGTGATACTGAGCAGTCATTACAGGATCAGAGACACACACACACACACACACACACACACACACACACACACAGTGGTTGAAGGTCTGTGTGTCGCTGCAAAGTGTCACCTGTCAGACCTGAGCTCTCTGTAAAACTCAGCTCTTAAAATCAGCTCAGGCTCAGATCACCATCTGTCAGACACACACACACACACACACACACACACACACACACACACACACACACACACACACACACACACACACACACACACACTCACACACACACGTTTACGACCTCACCGAACGCTTACCCTGAAGTCTGATCATTCAGAGAGAATTGAGTTAGAAACTTTTCCTCCTCGTCTCTGCTCACATAAACACACGCACACACAAACACACACACACGCACACACAAACACACGCGCACACACACAAACACACACACGTTTATGACCCAACACAACAAGTCTTATCAATCGGGGGAATTACAGGACAAAAATTAATGAGACAAACCAGCTTTATCCCCGTTTCTGCTTTAATCTTTCTTTCTGTCTCTGCTCAGTCTCAGTCCATCACACACAAACGTCCACAAAGACACACATACGTGCACACACACACACACACACACACTGACGTCCACACAGACACACACACGTGCACACACACACTGACATCCACACAGACACACACACGTGCACACACACACTGACGTCCACACAGACACACACACGTGCACACACACGTTCGGCAGCAACAGTCTCGTCTGCGTCTGGTCTCTGAGACATGACAGGTCTGTGGAGCTCTTTAACCTGCGTGGTGGAGGGAGTGGGGGGGGGAGAGAGACGCTCGTCTGTCCTCATTCAGCAGATTCAGTCTGAGTGTCTTCTGACCACCAAACCCTGAAACAACTGCTGCTCATTTTGAAGCGGACGTTTTCCTCTCTAGGTTCTTTAATTCATAAACAAAACTCCTGAAAACTTCTCGAGGTGAGCTTCCTGTGTGAATGCAAACTCGGACTTAATCCAGAATTTTTTTCCACCCTGCCCCCTGTTAAATTACCTTGTGAAGTCGGGGTGAGCAGATGTGAGATTGCAGCGGAAAGTTTAAGTAAAATTCACAACGACGAGCTTGCAGGAGGGTGGTGGTGTTTATATTCTGTGATGGGTGCACGACCTTAGACTGTCTGCACCCGACCAGTGTGATCACTGCGCAGATCATCAGCATTATGTTTTCTCTTCTCCACTCTTCAGTTGATCATTTACATCGTGTCTCGCCTCCTGAGATAAACTTGTGGTGATAAAGTATTTCTCCAGAGTGAGGTTCGGACCCTGGTGGTGTCGGAGCGAGGCCGGATTAGAGAGATGTTACCCTGCAGCTCTGTACACACACATCTAGGATTCATTAAGGTTGTTTTTTAAGGAGCGCCCAATGAGGAGTATTTTAACTTTGTCTCGTGCACACTCACATGAGGATGCACGTGCACACGCATGCTGCATCGCTCAGCGGTGCCAACAGTTTCATAATCCAGCACTCATCTACAGCTGGAGGGAAAGCAGCTACGGAGCCTGAGGAGAAGACAGCTGTAACAAGTAAACACGGATGTACACACTCTGGGATTCAAGCTGAAGTTTGAGGAGGAAGGAAATCTCTTAGCTGGAAGCAGTTTAACGCTAACCCCGGCGCTGGCTTTCCCTGGAATTACATCTGTATCCAGAGGCAGAAATGGAGCGCAACACAAGATGACAGACATGGATTGCAGATGGGTTCTGAGATTGTGTGATATGTACTCATAAAAAACTCTCACTGAAGAGGAGGACAGCTGATTTTATTAGATGTAAGTTATGAGATGTAAGCATGATGTTCCCCGCTCATTAGCGTGAATTCACCGATGAAAGACGAGATTGGAAAGTCTACACAGTGTCATCATCCTGTGTTCTGAAGGCTGGAGTTTCACCTCCTTTAAAGGAGAGCTGTGTGTGTGTGTGTGTGTGTGTGTGTGAGGCTGCAGTGTGTGATAATCGTCTCACTCACCTCGGGTCTCTGTTTTCGTCTCCTGCCTCCTCTGCTCGTCTGACTCCCAGCGTTCAGCAGTCAGAGTCAGTGCTCATGTCGTCTGCGTGTCACTGAATCTTCATCTTCTCTGTTCAAAAAAAAGACGACCATGAAGACGAAGGTCTTTTGAACGGTCCCGTCAGAGGTCGATCATGCAGCTGGAAGACGTTGTTCGTTCATTGGCTGATTCTGAAGGATTCTCTACCTGACGATCCTTCACTGAGCTCTCAATCTGTTCCTCCTCTTCCTCCGTCTGCTGCCATCACTGTGACTCTGATTGTTCTCTAAGTAATAGAGCTGTGAGCTGCAGAGACGCCCACTTTACCCTCCCCTCCACAACAAGGAGACTCCCCCCACACACACACACACACAAACCCTCCAGCCGGCCCAGCACTCCCACTGAGGAGAAGGCTGGGAGGACTGGGAGGGCTGAGCGGCAGCTGCATGTGCTGCAGGGAGGTCCTGAACTCGCACTCACTCAGAAGGAAACCACCAGAAACTGAGAAGCAGACTAGAAGACGTTCATGTTTGTTTTTCTTCAGTTTTTGCAGAATCGTAAAGATCTGAACCCCAGAGCACCTGAAATATTCCTGTTTCTCTTCAGACTCCAGGATCTTGTAGTCCCCCGGTCGGGTATTTCAGCCTGTTTCTTCCTGCCTGACGTGCAATCTGTAAACTTAGATTTTAATCTGTGAGCTCAGGCGGAGAGACGGTCCATTCACAGGCACAGTTTGTTGTGTTGTCATAGCAATAACATCTCAGTGACTCATCCTGTTTGTTTTTAATCACAAACTGCTGATGTATGATAGGCCGTCATCCACGCAGTCGAGAACATTTGTCTGAGGTCAGCCAGACACGGACTGCGTTTCCTCGCAGACGTTTGGAGAAACTTTGCTTTATTTTTTTTACTTCCACAGGAGGTCAAAGTACTCGTGTAGAAGTACAGACGCAGCGATCACAGGGAATTAACTTTTTTTTGTAGATGCTGACTGTAGATGGGGGAAACACACAAAAATACCAATGTACCTGTACTGTCCTGTAAATGGCAATAAACATCTATTCTATTCTAACGAGTGAGGTGTAAAATATCTTCTAGTCGACCAGTCAGATATATTTTGACCCTGATATTGACCTTAAAAACTGTAAACTGTTATAACCAAACTGTCCAGCAGTTACAATAGTTGAAGTCTTCGCACGACATCTGAGTTTAGCTAGCTAACTGGTGAACTGCTGTGATGGTCATACATGTTATCTAGTGATTCCACTTCACCTAGTAGCATGCCGATGCCTACTAGGGCGCTGTCTTGTTGGTAACTAGTAAATCAGAGCGACTCGATGTCTTCCCCTGTAAGATCCCAACTCTAAGACGAGTAAACTAGGTGGACATTTTGGCTCCATCCTGTTAGATGGAAAAACTTGTTTATTTTCAAAGTGGTTGAAGTCAAAGCTGCAGGTCTGTTTGAAATGTTGTCGAGGAGGGGAGAGCACGAAGAGACACACGAGAATCTTCAGCTAAATCAAAAGTCAACATCCTAATTCACAAACACAACAAAGAAGCTGCACAATAACAACACAAGCAGCAGCTGAAACCCCTTAAAGGAAACATCGAGATTCTCATTGAAGCTCCTCTCTGCAGGGCTAGAAGCTTAGAGAGCGGCAGCAGAGCGTGACACCAGGCACTCTTCTTCTTCTCTTTGTTGAAGCTGCTTCCTGTACCTTTAATGTTCACTGTGTGTCACGCCATCCTGACTCTGTTCCTCTCTGCGATTTATAAAGGAAGGGCGAGTCTCAGCCTGTGAGCGCTCTGTTCACTCAGCGTGCTCTGATGGAGCCCATAATCACCTGCAGGACGGAGACGACAACTAGAGGTCACACATTCTTTATTCAGAGCAGCAGAGGAGCAGATAAATGATCCACTAAACCAACATCCTGAACTTCCATCTTAACGAGAATAAAGGCTCAATAAATAGATATAAAAACTTTTGTTTGTAGACTTCCTGCAGGGTTTGAATGAGCAGAACATGAACGAACAAATCTACAGAGAAACCTCTTGGATTCAAATCCTCCTCTCTCAAATAAAAAAGTCTGAAAATAAACGCATAATAACAACGAACTATTCATAGCTTCATAAAATGTCCAACTTTACAGCTGCAGTTCCTCCAGTGTCCACTAGAGTCTTTCTCCTGCAGTGAGTCAGTCTCCATAGAGCCCCATGTTAAAATGTCCAACTTCACAGCCTGGTATAAAAATTAGTCAGGGGGTGTGGCCTCTTTGAGTGACAGGTGGGAGCTGCTCGCTGTCTGCTAGGTGTCATTACAGCTATCTTAGTCCCTGACCTTTGACCTCTGGGCTGTGTTTGTGCTGTTGGAGCCTTTTGGAGATGAGTATATTATGTAAATATCGGACTAATAATTTGTCTTGATTGTTGCAGTGCCCTCTATGGGTGATGCTGCAGGTCCAAGCGAGTCACTCGTGGTTCTAATTACATTCAGACACAAAGACTCGTTCTGCCTTGTTTTTCTGCACATCAGGACTTTTTGGATTTTGTTTTTAAAACAAGACACTTGCTGAGTTGAAAATCACATGTGACCGCAGTGAACTGCTGCTGACTGCTGATCCTGGATGACTTTCTGATGTGATGTAATAAAAAATAACTTGTTTGCTGTCGTCAGTGATTAATGGAGACAGGAAGCACAGCTGAGCCACATTGTGTGTCCATCAGCATGACATCATCGGCAAATACTGGTTATCATGTTGCGCAGATGTCGGTGATGGGTCTGGAGCTGCCAGCACAGCTGATATCATGGAGGGTCTGATGGTCTCGGGGGGGTTTGGGTGGAACACGTTGAGGAATGTAACATAGAAGAGAGGGTGTTTGAGAGATTTCAAGAAATATGAAGTCTCATTCTGCTCGTCCAAACTCAGTTTACTTACAATTTTGATGTCAAATGTTGGACTCAGTGTCCCATGCTGCATCATTGCGTCTTGCACAAGAGAGCAGGTTTGTCTTGTTTAACAGAGGAAGGAGTATTGGTACATGTTTCTTGATAATGCCAAACTACATGACCTGCCTTCTTACTCATGTTCTCGGCTGATTCCTGAAGCTCTCAGCAGCTGCAGCCTTCGATCTCAAGGACTCGTCGTGTTTGTCCCTCCCTGAACTCGCTCTGTCTTTAGTGAAAGTGCTTCTAGTGTGTGAGCGCCATCATCTGAGCTGCAGTCACCTTAAACTTTAAACTTTGATTCATTCAACATCTTATGTTGAAAACATGTTTGTTGAAATGAAATAACCATATGAATGAAGCAACTCTTGGATAAAAACCAAAAACAAAGTATGAAAAATAAATAAAATAAACTAGAACATTTAGATTTTACATTTTATAATACGAGTCAGCGTCTTTTTTCCGTTGTTTTCAAAGGGTAGAGAGCGTTCGCCCCGAGCGCTCAAGTTGAAAATCGTTCAACTTTTCAGAAAGCCGCTGTTAACGTCACCGGCGCTCTTTTCCAAATGTTTGATATTCCCCGTATTTTAGCCTCGTACAGATCGTGTCTTGTACCCTCATACTTCTCGCTCCGTGTCTGATCAGGAAATAAACCAGCTGAAATATAAAACATGCAGTAAAAAGTAAAATAGCAGTGTCGCTCATACAGCGGTCATTATCAACAGACTGTTGTTATGGAGACAGGACGGACGAACAGCGCTTTTCTTCTCAGCGCTCAAACACTTCACGCAAACACTTCCGAGCGCACAGCCAGCAGATTGACACGGGGCCTAACTTGTGCCGCTCAAACTCTGAGCTTTGAAATCTGTCCAGACTCTGCCTGAGGGGCTCCTCAACATTTCCACATACTGATTTCCATCTCGGCCTCCTCTGTTGAGCTTTTCCAGCTCTGCACGTTTGCATCGATGTTACTGCACACGTGTTGGAGTGTAAAGAGACCTGATGAAGGCCCCGCCTCCCTCTGCTTTAGCTCCTGATCTTGAAGTGTTTCAAAATCAAACCTCTCGTCATGTTGGAGGAATCACCTCGTCGTGTTGAAGTCAGCTTTATGAAGGGCTCTGTCTCATCTCAGACTCAGTCATGTTCTTTAGTCCATCTTTGGACCTGGACAAAGAAGACCTTTATCTCTGTAGCGGTCAGGGCCACAACTTTGGGAATATCACTGACATGCCCGTGCTCTGCTCTGACTGATTTATGACATCATCAGTTAGGGGTGTAAATCTTTGAATATCTCTAAAGATAAAGAACTGACTGTGATTTCTGTTGGTCTCTGAATTATAAAGTGAGTCTCTCAGAAGAACTTGAGGATATATTCGTATATTTTAATGCTCCATAAAATCAAAAACAGACCCAAGCTTTATAAAAAAAAAACAGAGAGAGAGAGAGAGAGAGAGAGAGAGAGAGAGAGAGAGAGAGAGAGAGAGAGAGAGAGAGAGAGAGAGAGAGAGAGAGAGAGAGAGAGAGAGAGAGAGAGAGAGAGAGAGAGAGAGAGAGAGAGAGAGAGAGAGAGAGAGAAGAGAGAGAGAGAGAGAGAGAGAGAGAGAGAGAGGAGAGAGAGAGAGAGAGAGAGAGAGAGAGAGAGAAGAGAGAGAGAGAGAGAGAGAGAGAGAGAGAGAGAGAGAATTGGCAACTTCTCAATACTGAAAAATTTAACACACACCGCTAAAATGTTAAAAACAGTCGGATAGAAACTGTGAGACCGGGTTGGGTTTGTGTGTGTGTCTCTTCCTCTCAGCTGCAGAAGGTCGAGCCTCTCTGACCTCTGCTCTATGACCCCTGAACTTACTGATGGCTGACCTCCTCTCTGATACTAAAGACGTCTCTCACTGCACGGCTGGAGAATTTAGAGTGTGTGTTTGTTGTTGTGTGTAAAATAACTCCTCAGACTGGGACCTGGTACTGATCCGAGTTGATCTCAGGAGGCAGTTTGAGTTAAAAAAGGGCCCAGAAGTGAAAAATGTGACTTTGCACATTTGTCATTAACAACAAAAGTGGAGCCTTGTACAGATGGGTTCTGCAGGTTTTGATTCCTGAAGGTTCTGCAGAGACTCTTTATTTCATGCTCTCTGTGTTGGCACATTTAAAGGTTTCTGATCTCCTCTGATCTCCATTTGACAGTAAATCTCTTCCAGTCAAATCAGCTGATGACATTAATAATTACATCTGTTTTACTCTGTATGCCAACATTTCCAGTCCACAGGTGCATTGTGGGTGTTTTTACTGGAGTTTTATTGTACGTTTTATGAATGCACATTCTTCAGCACGTCCACCTGTGCCCTCTGGACTTTTCCACTGAGCTATAAAACGCTGCGTCTGCTTTCTTTTTCCACTTCCTAACCTCAGAAACACACAGAGCGCTAACACACAGTCTGGACAGCTCAGGTCTGTTCTGGGCTCGGTCCAGACTAACCCTTGTTTGTGGATCAAAAGGGGAAAGTTGTGGACGTTCAGAGTGGTTTATGTTCAGGCAGCTTTAGGAAAAAAAACTGTTCCCTGACCGGAGCAGATTTCTGTCTTTTTTTTACTCTCAATAACAATCAGTGTTTGAAAAACAGACACATGGAATCCAGACAAAGATGCCTAAACAAGTTCCTGTCGTGTATCGCTGACCAGGATTTCCGTCAGATTTCCGTCGTCTTGAAGGAAGGACTGATGTAATGGTGTTTCAGCGGAGACACTGTGATGTCACAGAGCTCAGCGTCTCTAACCTCCTGTTAAACATTCAGTAAAAGTCCTCCAGGTTATAGCAGCCTCATGTGCACTGTAAAACATTCAGGAAACGTTAGAAGGAGTTTCCATTGGGCCTGCAGGAGCAGCGTGTCGTGCCCACGTGTCGTACCATCCTGTAACATCTTTACAGAGCTGCGTGTCTCTGTGGGGGATGAGGGGTGTCCTGACATGATCTGTAAGTGTAAGAGTTTGTTCTCTGTGCAGGAGATGTGTTTCTGCACAGCCTCCACATCTGTTCTGCATTGATCAGACTGAACGGGTACAGGCAGAGTAGAGAGTGTGGGAATCTGCTGAGTTTTTGATGAGCAGCATCAGGAGAAGCATCAGACTCATAGAAAACACAACAGCACGCACATCCCAACCAATAAGTACAAGATGCTGGACAGAAATACGAAAGCAAAAGGATGCGAGAAGCCGAGTGTACATCCCTGCAGATATTATTCAGAGCAGATTGAGACGTAACGTTACACCGTGTCAGCAAGCGTCATATATCACGTCACAGCGTGTATGATCGCACACTGCATCCGTTAAATATGTAATTCTTTGCTTCGTTCATTTCACTTTCCCCTTGTAAACATTGTAACTTGTGGTGCTTTTATTTTGAAGGTGGACAACCTGAAGTGTGTGCTTTTATTTTGAAGGTGGACAACTGAAGTGTGGCGCTTTTATTTTGAAGGTGGACAACCTGAAGTGTGGTGCTTTTATTTTGAAGGTGGACAAACTGAAGTGTGGTGCTTTGTATTGAGGAGCCGTTGACTCAAATCTCAACACTGATGCTCGTCAATAAACGGCTCGCTGTGAGCTGAATAAAGTTTTCTCCTGTGTTGTTGACGCAGGTTAAAGGTCAACATTTTAGACACGGATGTAGAAAACATTTTTTTCCCGTTATCTCCCCTTTGCGAGTGTCAGTGCCTTGTAAAGCGCCCTCGTTCCTCGTCTGTCTACACGAGAGGAAAATAGAAACGGGGCGGTGGTTAATAACGGCGTGCCACATCGTGCTGTTGATTTTGTTGCTGACACTCGCGTCTCGTTAGACTGTATCATTATCGGTGTCGTGTTTGTCTCATGTATATCATCTGACACCAGAGGTCGTCTCTACAACGCGCTGAAGACGCTAGCAGAGTCAGATTTACCTTAAAGCCGGTCATATTACTGAAACCTGTCAGCTGACATCAGTCTTCTTTGTCTCCTCACAACACCGCCCCCTCTGCTGGTCGCTGCACATCGTCTCAACACTGCCGTTTCACTCAGAGACCTTCAGGGGGCGCCAGAGTGCACCAACCCAAACTCCTACGTACTGCTGCGTGTGTGTGTGTGTGTGTGTGTGTGTGTGTGTGTGTGTGTGTGTCATTTTGTAAAGGGAGGGAGTTTGTTTTCTGCATGTGTTTGTGATTCCTGCACTCACACAGCGGCGGGTTTTCCTCACCGCCACATGCGGCACAAAGCACACGAGTTATATAACAGCAGCATTTATCATCAGCGGTTGTTAAATTCACCAGAAACCACAACGAGCAGTTATCCCTCTGTCTTTGTTTTACAGCTCGTTGTTAAAGACTCAGAGAAACGTGTGTGTGTGTGTGTGTTTCACCACAAATTACTGTTGTAAACTTCAGAGAGAGGATTAGTTTCCTCGTTTAAGGAGAAGTTTAACAGCCAGCATCGTGCTGCTTTAGAGATAAAGAGTGCTGATTATTACTCGTTACCGTCTATGAAACCAAACAGAGTTAAACTGTGACCGTTACTGACGGATTAGAGAGCAGGCGGCCGGGTTTGAAGGCCCTGACACACCAAGGAGATCTTCGCCCGTCGGTCCTAGATGGACCGTTGGTGGACTGTGGTGTGTCCAGCTCCGTCGCTACGATTACAGACTACCGCCCCCTGCTGGCATGGACAGTTATTTCCTCTCACTGCAGAACATTCGTGGTGGTTGGCCGTCGGCTGTAGTCTTTGCGGTGTGTTAAAGTGCAACTTTTTGACCAAAGGTGATGTAAGGCGACGCCACAGTTGGCCTCATCACCACTAGTTCTTTGCTGTCTGCTTGGTGCTGCAGAGGAACATGCATTTGATTTCCATTCGTGAGGCCGGATTGAAGTTTCAGCTCCGATACCAATCCCTGGACTTTGAGACCGGATCAAACGTTTTCAGCCTGTCGGTCCGATATCCAACGCCAGGATCTGATCGGTGCATCCCGAGAAATGATTACCATAGAAGATGGTTCCTGTTCTGTGTCTTTAGGACGTTTTTCAGGAAAGATTTCAGGTTTGAATTAAAGTGTGTTTGTAAAATTGTCTCAGCTGCTTAGAAATCTCATCGTTCTTGTTAAACCAAACGTCACTTTCCTGCTCCAAACAGTGATGTGTTTGAGACAAATGATGTGGGAAACTGTGTGTAACGTGTGTGTGTGTGTGTGTGTGTTGTAAACACCACATCAGACACGGTGTGTGTGTGTGTGTGTGTGTGTGTGTGTGTGTGTGTGTGTGTGTGTGTGTGTGTGTGTGTGTGTGTGTGTGTGTGTGTGTGTGTGTGTGTGTGTGTGTGTGTGTGTGTGTGTGTGTGTGTGTGTGTGTGTGTGTGTGTGTGTGTGTGTGTGTGTGTGTGTGTGTGTGTGTGTGTGTGTGTGTGTGTGTGTGCGCGCGCGCTCAGGGTCAGACCAAGTCTCTGGCTCTCTCTGTAGAAACATTATTTCACAGTAATTAAGACAGATTGTAGGAAAGTCTGCGAGTCAGCTCATGTTTTCCAGATTCTTCTGAAACTCCTTTAAAAGACGCCAGAAGTCAGATATGGAATTTTCCTCTTGTTAAATAATTATCACTTTCTTTATTCTTAAAAATTTTTTTATTTACTAAAGTCTGAAGATAAAGAAAGACACATCTGAGCACAGAGGAGCTTCATGAAAAACCTCAACTTTCTCCTTTCTTCAGATTATCCACCTCTCCATGAGTCAGCATTTCTTGTGTGTGTGTGTGTGTGTGTGTGTGTGTGTGTGTGCGCTGTAAACACCACATCAGACACGGTGTGTGTGTGTGTGTGTGTGTGTGTGTGTGTGTGTGTGTGTGTGTGTGTGTGTGTGTGTGTGTGTGTGTGTGTGTGTGTGTGTGTGTGTGTGTGTGTGTGTGTGTGTGTGTGTGTGTGTGTGTGTGTGTGTGTGCTGTAAACACCACATCAGACACGTGTGTGTGTGTGTGTGTTCAGAGGTCCAATTTAGCGAGTGACTCGTTGACCCTGTGTTGTGTTTCAGGGATCTACTTGCTGGACATGATCTACATCGACTCGGCCTATCCGGCGTCAGACAGCATCATAGAGACGGAGCAGCGGACCAATCAGATGAACAACCTGCTGAGAGTCATCTCTGACCTGCAGGTGTCCTGCAAATATGGTGAGACAACAAACACCTTTGTTATGACTCAGCAAACGGGGATAAAGCTAGTAAAGGTTAATATGGCTGTTAACAGATAAAAGGCTTCATTAGCGATCAAATAAATCACAATCCATTATTCAAAGTGTTGGCAATGACGTCACTCAAACAGAGTTTTGCTTATCTTAAAGGACCAGTATGTAGCTCTGACCCCTAGTGTTTATAATGGGTACTGCAGTCTAAATTATCATCATAGAGAGCTGTCTCCCCCCCCTCCTCTCTAGAGTCCATGCTCACAGGTCACCATGTGGTGGACACTGAAGCTTCAGTGTTTATCCAGCTCTGCATCGGTCTGTAAACCTTTCTGTGTTCTAACCTCTCTCCATTTTTCAAAAGCATCTCCAATATTGATCCTAGTTTGAGCACGTTTCTGCTCATGGAGCTTATTAGAAACATGTAGAGGCTTTTTAGGTCGAGTACAATCACTTCTATCTGAACCACTTCTCTTGCCCGCTTCCATCACTGCAACACCTGTTGACCTGATAACTGCTCTCATATCTGGCAAACCGAGGGGCGTCCAAAACGGGCGTGTGGGGTGGGTGTATACCACGATGTGAAAGTCTGCAGAGGAGAAATTTGGGTATAAAAGTATTGAACCTGGACTTTTTTTTTTTTTTCAGTTATCGTTGTCTTTAAAATGGACTTGAACTATAAAAGGTTAAAAGTTACCTCTTCCCCCCGTGTCTCCTCAGATTACCTGGTGACCCTCCCTCATGTTCAGAAGTATCTGCTGTCAGTCCGGTACATTGAGGAGCTGCAGAAGTTTGTAGAAGACGACAACTTCAAGTAAGTTTCACATTCACACCAACACTACCAGTAGATGAAGCTCCACCTTATGTCCAGACGACACAGACATGCTCTTAAACTCGGCTCAGAAGCTGCTCTCTGCTCTGACTCGTGGAAACATGGAGGCGAGAAGATGTCTGGGTTCAGTGAGACGAAGCAGTGTGAAACGACAGACAGCTGCTTTGATTTTCTCCTCAGAGACTGAAGATAAAACATCCCACGGCTCTGATGACTTTCTCAGACGGACACTCTAAAGCACTTTTCACAAATGCACTTTTGAGGCAGGCTGCCGCTGAACTCTGCTCGGGTAGCCTGTTCACAGGTGCACCTCACAGCGGGCGACGTGACGAGGGGGGAGGGGGGGTTAGGAGGCGGGACGTAATGGAAAAAGAGCAACGCAGGAGTCTGACACTATGATGAGAATATCCGCCTTGATAACAATGCTTAGTGTCGTCCAACATATTAACAATATCAGCAAAAAAATAGAGAAGAACATACTGGTGAACAGAAAACAAAGAGGAGGAGTTCGATGACGTGCACAGAGATCGTAGCGGTGGTGTGCAGACAGTCTATAGATGGCGCTGGTTGCAGGATATAAATCCCATCACCCCCTCCAACTCGCTCGCTTGCAGTGAATATTTCCACTCAGCTTCACACAGAACATTTACCTAGGGGGCTGGCAGGAAAATCTCAGTGTAAGAGTCAGTGTGAAAAATGTAGCTGCTTGCATTAATACATGAAGCTCGCCCTGTTTTGAGGAGTTTTGTGCAGGTGTGAAAGAATAATGTTACTCTTGTTTTCCTTTCACCTCTGAAGTTAGCAAAGCTCCAACAGCTTCAGAGTTGCAGTTTGCTCGAGGTTTTGTTAAACTCTGCAAAAAGAAGATCTAATTATCATTTCACTGCCCAGGGACTACAGATGTAAATTAGCTTATAGCTATCTCTGGTACAGCTAATTGGCTGTACACTGTCCCTGTCAAAATAAACAAATAAATAAAAAATAAAAATCATGATGTCAGGGCGCTGGTGATGCAGTGGTTAGTGCGCGCGCCCCATGTAAGGAGGCTGTAGTCTTTCAAGCAGGAGGCCTGGGTTCAAATCCAGCCTGTGCCTCCTTTCCCGCATGTCATTCCCACTCTTTCTCACTCCCCCTGATTTCTGACTCTGTCCACTCTCCTATCTCTCCATTAAAGGCACAAAAAGCCCCCAAAAAAATCTTTAAATTTTTTAAAAAGAAATCATGATGTTAATTTGCTTTTCATCTTTTGTCCTTGTCTGTCTTCTTTATTTTTGCTAACAAGGTAATCCCACAAATGATCAAACTCACAAATGAAGGACTCAGAGATTGTAAAAAGTTTATAGAAAAGTTAAAATCTCGTCCGCAGCAGTTTAATAAAGATGGATTAGGGCAGCGGAGGTTTCTAACTCATATTACATAAGTTTTTAAATGACTAAAGTGTGTGTGTGTTTATGTGCTAGATGACACACACACACACACACACACACACACACACACACACACACACACACACACACACACACACACACACACACACACACACACACACACACACACACAGAGTTGAAGTAATGACGGTGGTGATGAGACAGAAACCAGACTGCACAGGTCGTGAGAGACACAAAGTTTGCTCGACTCTCCTCCTCTGTCTTCCTTCAGTCGTTCTCTCATTAATGAGCTTTACCCCCCCCCCCCCACCACCACCACCCGCACCCTCAGAGTCAATAAATACTTTCCTATGTTCTGCTGAGAGGCAGGATCGCACTCCCCAACTTACCACATTCATGAGACTGTTCCATGTGCTGGTTGTCCAAACTGAGCGTGTGCAGACACGAGGACAAACTGAGCGCGAGCAGACAGGAGGACAAACTGAGCGCGAGCAGACAGGAGGACAGACTGAGCATGTGCAGACAATAGACTGAATAATAAAATGGACAGCAGACCTCTCAAAGGGAGTGAAGCCAAAGTTTTTAAAGCTCCCCCTGCTGACACAGGTCTTTTCAAAACACGCAGCCATAAGTCAACAGAAACTTTGTAACAAAATAAAACGGGGGTGCCATAATCAGTCACTCATCAAAACTCTCATGAAGTAGCTCACAGTCCAAACATTTTCCTCCTTGCACACCTGCCCCCCTCAGCAAATCAGGTCGGTGGTCGCAGGAAGTCCCGCCCCCTCTCTTGCTTGACAGCGATGCAATGCAACCAAGATATCCAAGACCTCTGAATTTGACAATCCAAGCTGTTGAGTCCTGCAGGAAATCTGGTCTAAATCTTCTTTGTGTGTGTTAAAGATCTTAAATGTAATACTGGAGGTGTGCAGTGACCCTGCAGGGAGTGTGTGATGTAAATATATTTCTCTGTTAAATCTGACATCACTGATGGAAACGTGTCTGTGTTTCAGGATTTCTCTGAAGATTGAACCTGGAAACAGCTCCCCTCGCATCGCTTCCTCCAAAGAAGACCTGGCAGGTAACGCACGCCTTAAGTATATATATAAATACGTGTTTGGCCCGTCTCCACTCATTTAGGGGAGTGGAGCTGATAGATTTCTACTTTGGTCAATGTGTTCTTCTACTGTCTCCTCTGGGCTCCATCAGTCCATGTGGTTCTGTGGTTCTGTGATTACCGTGGGAACCTCTTTGACTCGGGACTCCAGCAGTTGCTGCTCCATTCTGCGCTCTGAAAACGCAGTTTGGGTGTTGATGAATGAGAGAGCTCGGAGCTGTAACATACACATAGCTGCTGGAAGTTTGGGGTTAAAATCTTCTTTTCTGATGAAGAATTTGTAGTTTTGTTTTCAATTCTTGATCATCTGTTGAAAGAATGAAATCCAGCCGGCCTTGTGGTTGAGTTATTGAAACCAGAGAAGGTCTGTGATGACTAGAAGCATGTGTTTAGAAGGGACACAGAATGATGAACGCTCACTAACAGCTCTGTGCAGGTGCAGTTAGTCACATCAGGTCGGTGTAGTGACAGCTGATGGATTCTTTGATTAGCTTGGAAAACAAAGCAGCAGCAGAGAGCTAACAGGCCGTTCTGAAAGAACTACACTAACAACCAAACCCAAACATCCACCTCCTGTTTCTCCTCCATCCTCTTCACCTGTCTGTGAGCTGTGATGTCCTCACCTGTCTGTGAGCTGTGATGTCATCGTGCAGGTGAGGAGGAAGAATGATGTTTAGACAGCTCAGAGTGGATTGAAGAGGTTAACTAGGACATGTTGGACTTCCTTTATTGTTCTTCTTGTGTAGTGTTGATACTCTGGAGGGCTTTATTTGAGGAGGGGGGTGTGATGAGGTGATGTAATGCAGCAGGGACAGGCTGAGATCTGGATGTGGGTCTGAGTGATAATGAGAGAAGCCCACCGAGCCAAATTGGAGACGGGACGAAGCTCTGCAGCTGTGAGAGAGCGAGCTGAGAGGACGTGTGGTCACACTGAGAACACGACGACTTAAAGATGAAGTCATGTGGGAGAGATCTGCTGCTAAGTTATCACAATAATCAAACCAGAGATACATTTAAAAAAAACATTTTTTAATTAGTATAACAAGTGGAGAGTAGTGTTTACAACAAATCCAAGATGGCCGCCAAAGCAGAGTCAGTCACTCAGGTCGTTTTCGCTCCTAACCTGTTTGATTCGGTGAAAACTAATTCGAGTCAGTTTACCAAAATTGTCTGTAGGTGTGAATGTGTGGCTGGTTTACTGTGATTGACAGGCGATCAGTCCAGGGTGTAACCCCGCCTCTCGACCAATGACAGCTGTGATTGGTTCCAGCCCCCCTGCGACCCCGTACGGGAAAAGCGGGATATATAATGGATGTAAGGTTCCCAAGGATTTTAATCTGCAGCATTTTGTCATGTAAGAAGTTTGGAAACAACATCGGTAATAATCTGGAAATCTTGCCGTCTTATTTTTAGAAATAAATGGTCTTTAATTATTCTTCTAGTTTAAAGATCCGTGGTTAAAGTGAACTAAAGCGTCCCGTGGGTTGAGTTAACGATGCAGCTAATAGCTGTCTGTCCTCTGGGACGAACATGTCCATGAGTTTCCATACAGTCATGTCTGCAGCCTGGACCTCCACAGGCTGGGATCTGTTTGTAACAATCGCCATGGTAACGGCTGTTCTCTCTCTGTCCATGTGTGTCTGCTACACATTAGTTAGCGTTCTCGTTCTCTCTGTTGTTTGTGTGTGCTGACCTGCTGATCTCTGCACAAAAAGAAGGAAAAGTTCTGATTTCACTTAAAGACTCGTCTTTCAGTGCCAGCAGTGTTACACTCTGCAGTCTCTCTAATACACACAACCTGAGCGAGTCACGGACAGAGGAGGCATGTGTCTGAACTGTTGCAGAGAGATGATTGGCCAAGAGGACAGCCTGTCGGAGAAGTTTTCTAATCTCAGCGTTTCTTTTCTGATGTAAAAAAAGAAAAACATCCTGTGAAAGGAGATTAGATTCATGTGAACATGAGCACGAATCATGAAAGAATGAACTTTATAAGAACTGGAGTGAGCCTAAATAAAGAGCATAAACTATTTCGGCAATTAAAGAGTAAAATGCTGAGGCTAAAATGGGTTAAATGTGCAGAAAAGTTGAGGTGATTGGAATAAATTTGAAGACCACGTAGAGTTTGCAAGTTCTAGTTGGAATTATGTGGGGGGAAAAAAAAGTGCAGTTCCTCGAGTGTCCACTAGAGGCTGGCTGCAGAAGCACAGGAAGTCACATACACACCCATTCTAAAAAGCCTGTTTTTACAGCAGAGATTAACATGTTTACAGCCTGGTTCAAAAAACAAATAGGTCTGATTAGCTCATGTCTCGATCGACACACACTGTACGGGGGGTGAATGTTTTGATGACTCATCAGTTTTGATTGGATGAAGGATAAGAGTTATTCACAATAAGGCGTGTAGCTGACATGATTGACAGGTCTGATTAGCTCATGTCTTTTCTACAGCTAAAAAAAAACCTTCCATCAGAAGGTTTGTCATTATGACCAAATTTTGCATCATATGTAGGATGACTGTACGTCCCATTCTCGAGCTCCGGGTTTGAGTCCCCAAAAATATCTCTAAAACACTAATATGTTCCGTTTGAACCAAAACATTACAACATGCTAACATCACTGCTGTGTCTCTATGTCAATCAAAGTCTGTTTT